AGAACGAAACAAATTCGGAACATGGATCAGGGGTAAATAATTTTGATAATAGTTTTATGAATGACAGGTTACCATCAACTTCTTCACCTAATCTTCAGACCAGTACAGAAATTTTGGTATATTGCCAAAATGTTAACCGCATGAGAAGCGCCGGTAAAATGAATGAAATTAACAAAAATATATTAAGTTCTACTTACTCTGTCATAATGGCTAATGAAACAAGTTGGGATGATAGTGTGAGAAGTGAAGAAGTTTTTGGTAACAATTACAACGTTTATAGAGACGACCGCAATTTTCAATGGTCTGGAAAAAAATCGGGAGGTGGAGTATTAATAGTGATTTCGACCCAATTGAATTCAGAAATTATTATGGCTACTAAATTTAAAGAATTCGAACATGTATGGGTAAAAGCGCAAGTAGCAGACGAAACACATGTCTTTGTTTCGGTATACTTTCCTCCAAACAATGCTCATAAGGACACGTATGATAAGTTTTTTGGAAAAGCGGAAGAAATTTTGTCTACCCGCAGAAAAATGGATTTTTGTTTCAGGGCCTAATGTATTTTGTTATTGAATCAAACATATTGTATCACTTTTTCAACAAAACATATTTTTGAATCAACAAACTGGTTTTTAGAATCAACAAACAGAGTATTGATTATACAACCGGTTTGTTGATTAAAAAATATTTTTCTTTGAATTAACCGAATAATATATTTGAATCAATACCAAAAATATATTAGGCCCTGAGCCAAAAATATATCCATTTGAATTTAAAAAGCATTTCTCTGCGTGTAGTTTACCCCCTGAAGTAAAAGTTCATATATATGGGGACTTTAACCAACGCAATGTTGACTTTATTTCTGATATGGACAATGAAAGCATCTTACTTCCAGTCGTTGGGGAAAATGAAACACTCCATTTCATTTTTGACAAAATTGCAAATTTAGGACTCAATCAAATTAACCATGTGAAAAATCAACAAAATTGTTATTTAGACCTTTTATTAACAAATACTTATGAAGATTTCTGTGTGACTGAATCGTTAAGTCCCATATGGAGAAATGAAATGTTTCACACAGCAATAGAATATTCTCTATTCGTTCACATATATGAAAGAACCAACGACTGCGAATTTGATGAAATCTTTGATTATAATTCAGCAAATTATGATAACATTATTATTATTATTATTTAGCTTTATTAAGGAGGCTTTCAGCCTTAGGCTGGTTCGCCTCCAACTGATAACATTAGAAATAGATTGAACATTGTCGATTGGCAAGCAATATTAAGAACTGCAGGAAATGTTGAATGTGCAGTTGACGTATTCTACAATGTGTTGCTTGGAATAATACTTGAAGAAGCGCCAACTAAAAGAAGAAGACGTCAGAGTCATGCAAAACATCCAGTTTGGTACAACAGGGAACTAAAATTTAAAAAAATCGAAAGCAAAAAGCGCACAAATTTTATAAAAAATATAATAGTGAAGAAACTTTGGCATACTATTTAGACATTTGCGATCAGTTAAATTTGGCCGTGAATATGGCATTTGAGGAGTATAATTTAAAAACTGAACTTGAAATAAAATCTTGTCCTAGAAACTTCTTCAATTATGTGAAAACCAAATTAAAATCTGATAATTTTTCCTCAAAGATGCATTTGGACGATAGGATAGGTGAGAACTCGGATGATATATGCAATTTGTTTGCAAATTTCTTCCAAGAAATATATACTACGTTATCAGAAGAGGACCGTGATCGTGAATATTTTGAATCATATCCAGAATTTTCAAGTGACATCAGCGTAAGTCAAATCAAGGTTCATGATATCTTAAAGGGTTTAAACAATTTAGATGCATCTAAAGGTCCTGGCCCTGACGGTGTTCCGCCAGTTTTTATGAAAACTTTAGCAATTGAACTTACTGCTCCATTATTTTGGATTTTCAATATGTCACTGGAATCCGGAAACTTCCCTCAAATATGGAAAAACTCGTTTTTAGTGCCTATCTTTAAATCGGGTAAAAAATCCGACATACGTAATTATCGTGGTATAGCTATTATCTCTTGCATTCCGAAACTTTTCGAGGCGATTGTAAATGAAAAACTCTTTCTTCAAATTAAAAACAGAATAACTACTAAATATGCAGCATGGCTTCTTTAAAGGCCGTTCAACAACTACGAATTTGCTCGAATTAATTAATTATTCCTTGAATGCAATGGATAACGGAAACCATGTAGAATTGTTGTATACAGATTTCAGCAAAGCGTTTGATCGAATTGACATACCCATGCTTCTTTTTAAACTTCAAAAAATGGGAATTCATTACGCACTCCTCAAGTGGCTTGAATCATATTTAACTGACCGTCATCAAATAGTAAAATACAAAGGAAAGATATCAAATCCCGTTGACGTCACTTCAGGAGTTCCTTAAGGCTCCCATTTAGGACCACTTTTATTTATTCTCTTCGTCAATGACATATCTTTCATTATTAAGAAATTGAAAGTTTTAATATATGCTGACGACATTAAACTTTTTTTGGAAATAAAAGATGCCAAAGACATCATCACATTCAAAGAGGAAATTCAAATATTCCATACTTGGTGTCACCTGCTACAATTAAATATAAAAAAATGTAACTCCATTACCATTAGTAGAAAACAAAAGCTACCCGATATAACAGTCACTTTAGGAAACCAGATCGTAGAAAAGTGTGATAGAGTCAGGGATCTAGGTGTTATTTTGGACTCAAAACTTACTTTCACCGATCATTATAACACAATTATTAACAGAGCTAACAACATGCTTGGTTTCATAAAACGTTTCTGCTATAACTTTCACGATCCGTATACGATTAAAACATTGTACATTGTTTATGTAAGATCGATATTAGAATATTGCAGCATAGTTTGGTCACCTTTTTCAATCACACACGAAGAAAGAATAGAGTCCGTTCAAAAGCAGTTTCTATTGTATGCACTCCGCAAGTTAGGTTGGACTGTATTTCCTCTGCCATCTTACACAGCTCGGTGTATGCTCATAAATATCCAAACATTAAAAAAGCGTCGTGAATTTGCTATGATTTCTTTCGTAAACGATATCGTATCACATCGAATTGATTCAATAGAACTATTGTCATCCTTAAATTTATATACACCATATAGGCATTTACGAAATAGAAATATATTTGCTACAAATCGTCATCGTACGAATTATGCCAAATTTGGACCCTTGAACCAAATGATGGATACATATAATAAGCACTGCGATAACATTGACTTTACAATGACAAAAACCAAATTAAAGCAATATTTTAATTCGTCGCATAACGTCAACTAGAATTAATGTTTTAACTTGTTCTTAAGACATATTATAAAAATATAAACAAAGACAAAATTGTAAAAATAGCACTTAAGACAACAATTGTAAAACGGTCTACACTGATTGACGACAAATAAATAAATAAATAAAAACTGATTTTTTAGAGGCCACTCTAAGTTACTTATTAAAAATCAGTATAAATCGTGAACCATTAGAGATACAAAATTGCTTTCTTGAGCAAAGTTGTTTTAAATAACTTGTCCTACAACTTGGTCGTGCATTACACTGGTCTACCTTGAATAACTAAAAAGTTGATATTTGGAACTAATAAAGTGTGTGGACCACCCTAGGACTTGAAAAATAAATCGGAAAACTTTCGCGAAAACCCTATATACCCAAAACTAGTTATTTAGGCACAATTACCACCTAGATACTGCTTTTGGACCATAGTGCATTGGTCATATCCGGACCCACCCCCGTGGGAGTGGCTAGCTTTAAACTAGAGCCAAAAGACATGCAGAACTCTAAAACAAGCTCATTGCTGGTCACATTAACCTGGAGATGTTCCGGATACCCCCTGAGAAGTTGCTCGCAATTTTATTTGGTAAGAAGAGTCAGATCTCACTATAGGTGGATAAATACAGGTTTTCAATATAAAATGACACGTTTAAAAATATGTTAGCTAGCTCTCTTTATTAAAAAGGCTTTATGCACTGGGCTGGTTCGCCTCTGAACGTTTAAAAATGTATTTTCTTATATCACAGTGCCAAGCGTTTCTGAAGAAACCACGGAGATCTTATATCAAAGTTTCTAATGTTTTCAAAAAAACTTTCTTATATCAAAGTTTCTAATGTTTTCAAAAAAACCGCGGAGCTCTATGATCAGTATCGTGGATTGACCACATTTACGGATGTTCCGGATCTTCCAGAAGACCGTTCTGTTGTCTCCAGGGTCTATATATAGGAAGCATGATTGTATTCTTGTCTATTATGAACATTAATGCTCATTAATCAAAATTATAGATCTTAGTCCACTTGCAAAACCCATAAACACACTTTTTAAAAAACATGTAACAGCTCTTTTCGCTTTTAAAAAAATTAGACGCCATTATTTTCAATCTATTTACAATCAAAATAATTTACAGACCCTAGGAATTTTTGTGCAACCACATTTTTTTTCGATTCATCAAGAAATGGTAAAGATATGTCATTGCAAACTTGCCGTTACACGTTTTCCGAAGGCACCGTGTTCGGAGTGATAATGAACAAAAGCTGAAATTTACTCGTTCATATAACTTTATATGTTTGGTCTTTGAAACATAAATACATTTTTATTGAACTTCACACATATAAATTTAAAAAGGTTTTTGCTGTGTACGATTTACTAATATTGGTGAATTTTCCCGTATCTAGGCGTGTCTGCAACATATATTACACTATAGATTGAAAATAATTATCTGTTGCTTTGTTACTTTTGTATTGGTATTCATATGGATTTAAGATTTAATTCAGTCCCGCAAAACACAGTTTAGGGAGCAAGTTAACATCGATCTGGAATGACTCAAGGAACAATGTCCATCTGATTTTCACACTGATGTATCTTATGTAACACCTCTTTGAAGTTCTGATAATCGATTCATAAAAATTTCACAACCAAAATTCCCTCATTCAACCAAAACTTACCATTCGTGGCGGCGTATCGGCCCTCTTCCTCGGCGTCACTGTATTCGTCCGGCTCGTAATCCACCAGCTGTGCCCGAAAGGTAACCCTCCTTTCTCCAGATGAATATTTTGGAGACGGAGGCGTTGGAATGGCAAATGATTCCTGGTTGGCTAACTTAATCTTCTCCTTAATGTTGTACTCGTTGGCGGGACGAAGGACTGTAAATATGCACCACAAAGTTCCTCTTGTGAGACACACGGTTCCGAAAAGATGATCCGCTCAGTCGACACATCGAACCAACAATACTCACAGTATCCTTCATAATCCTCCTCGTCATCGTTGTCGATCATCACGTCAGCCTCGGATTGGCAAATCTTCGCCGTCTTCGGTCGCCTTTGGTGGGCTCCCTGTCGTTGTACGGTCGTCCCACCTGCCAAGGCGATGAGTTGTTCGAAATTGTAACGGTGCAATTATTAGCCGGAATGTTTGATTGGATACGACCTAGCCGAAGGTTAATCCGCGATAGTCAATAATCAAAGCATTATCCGTCCTATATCGAATGCACGATACTCTCAACTGGGCAAATTTTCACGTGTCACGAACATTCACGACGATTGTGTAAAGCACCGCCTCAGTCAAGCACTATTAGATACAATATTTAAATTTCTAAGGCGGCACAACTCATAAAACAGGAACAATACGCCGAAGGGATATTCCAACCGACATCGGTATTTCCTTGTGCGAAATATTAACTCTCCTGCCTACCGTCGTCGTCGCCGTCGTCTTTCTATTCTATCGCCGTCCGGACCGACCGGTAAAAGTAAACTAAACAAACTGATTGGTTATGACTTTCGCTAGCAACTGCGGACCCCACGCCAAGTTCGCGGGCAAGTATCCTTCCAACATCGTGGGCTGACTGTGGGCAGGGAGGGGTTACGTGTTTGCGGCGGGCGCTTGGATACGGATTGGGGCTTGGTCCACAAATTACGTGATGAAAACCGATCGTCAATTGGGTTTCCACGTCCTTCGTTTCCCCCGTCGGCAGATTTTTTTTTTTTTTTTTTTCATTATAGCCACTTTAACGCTCTTGGGTCATTCGTGACTTGTCCGGGGGTGAGATTTGAACTCGTGACTTAGGCGTGAGAGGTATGGATGCTAACCACTACACCGGGGTCGCCCCCTCCGTCGGCAGATTTACGAAGGGGGTGTTTTCGCTGTAATAACAACACCAAGCTCATCTAGACTCTGTTTTTCCATTCTCGTACAACTGAGTTAACAGAAAGGCTGTAATATCACTTGAAGATTAGAATTAGGAGATTTTAATTAAACACAGACTTCACAGACAAAAATATTTTGTAATTTTCAACTACAAACTGGAGCAGGTTTTTGAAATGTATATCCTTGTCCGTTGAAAATTCTTTTCATGTAAAATTCAATGCAAATGAATGGATTATTAAAAACTTTAATGTTCAAATTAAAGCTTAAATAATCCATTTAAAAAAGTTAATCTTAAAGGTTACGTTACGTGTGGCCTTTCAGATGCCTATCAAAATTAAAATTATCTAATCAACTAAATGAGAGAAAATTAGAGTTTTCTGCTACCAGCCGTTGCAGTTTATTTTTGAGAAAGCAATTCTTAGGCCTAAATCAAATAAATAATCTACAAAATCAACAGAATTGCTTCCTGGATATTTTACTAACAAATACGCATGAAGATTTCCGTTAAAATTAATCTGCTTCTCTATTATGAAAAAAAAACTATAACGGCAGCCCTATGGGGTTGTTCGCAATGGTGACTAGAGATGGGCGATCCGCTCCCGAGCTGTTCTATAGACCCGATTCTCTAAAGTGAGCTGATGACCCGTGGTTCATTTTTTAGGAACCGCAGCTCATCAGCTCACTGATATCACAAGTCTTAACCATTCAATCCATCACTCATAGCGAAACTTTTCAAAAAAGGACTCATTATACCACTTACACATTGAACAGTCACCGCGTAAACCCAGACGCGCGCGTAATACAACATGTGCCTACTGATCGACAGCGGTAAAAGCAAACTTCCAAGCGGCTGTATGGGAGAGAGAGAAATATGTACATGCGCTTAATTTTCTACTGGTATTATCCAATTTATTTATGTACCCGGCTCTTATTGGTGATGTTATTCCTCCAGCATATGTGCTCTCACCTCTTCTCCCAGAATGATGGGGGAGCGGAAGATTTTTTTTTTTTTTTTCTTTGGTTTGTTTTTTCCGTCGATCTTGTTTTCCGTGCTGAGCACCAATGCTACCGATGTGCCAGGAAGGCAGCTCCCACACCTGGACCCTACCTATCGACCCATCAACTTATGAACCGGGGACCAACGGCTTTACTTCCCCCCGAAGAGATGTTATTCCTCAAGGCGGCGCCGACTGGGATTGAACCCAGGCCTGCTGGGGTGAGAGGTAATCACGCTTACCTTACGGAGCGGAAGATCCGCACAAAATTAAATAACCGAAAAGCGAAATGCAGCTCTCCAGCTTATCAGCTCAGCTCCGGATCCGAATCATCGACTCGAATGATTCACTGGGAGCTGTTAAGGATGAAAACTCTTGGACCCGTCCAGCTTTTCGGATCTTTTTTTCTCTCTCTAGATTCTTCACGATTCAGCTTCGGATCCGGATCTGAGCTGATGCCGAGAATAGTGAGAGAAATTTTGCTGGAGAATTAACATCAGAAATTAAATTTGAATGTAGACTGGATTGTATAGCTTGAGAAAAGGCGTAACATTGTGTGCCACGATGTCAATCATATCATTGCGTGTGACATAGGTGTAGCTCTCTCGCATACATTTTATGTTTTAAAGCTATGTTGTTGGCACATTTTGCGCGCATTTTGGTTTACGTGATGGTTGATCAGTTGTTGCGTTAGTAGCGTTTTCCATTGAAAAGTAAAGCCATGTTGTAAGGTACGGATTTATTGGTTTAGGCTACTTTACGATTTTATGCAGTTTTAAGCACTTAAACCACTAATTATTTTCCGATTTTGAATTTGTGTCATAATTTCAATAAGAGCTGAAGAGCTGTTCAAAAGAATCGACTCCCTTCAGTGAGCTGGATGGGTTTTATCCACTCAGTCAGATGAGCTTTTTTGCCCACCTCTAATGGTGACATAGGACTACGTGGTCTTATATAATAAATGTTATTTGTTAACTGCAGCTTGTGTTTTGTGTCGGAATAGGAATTTGAGTGGGGTTTGAGAGTAGGCTGTCCGTGTGTTCGAACCTGACGTTTGTTTTTTCCGTGGAGTTTTGTTTTTTTTTATCTATAATCGATTGCTGATCTGGCCATAACCAGGCCCAAGAGACAATTTCTAGTTCCTCATTCTAGGTCCCTATTATTTGCCACCGAGAAGCTGTTCCGAAGCTAAGTAGAACCGCCACGAGGCGTCCCATCATTAGTTCCATCATTCGTTGAGTCGCAGCTTTGAACCTGACTATTGGCCACGAAAAGACTTGCCAATGCACATCAAAAATCGACTACATACATCCGAACATTTGTTTATCTCAAATCGACGGAAGACATTCCGCGCAACTACCATAAACCGGACTAGTTCATGTTGATCTTCGTCAAGCTTCGTCTACAATTTGGACTTCTACATCAACACATGTCAGGCAGCCTTCAGGTTCAATTGGCTAAACTTGGTGAGTTCGTTCCATTTTGTAAATTTTTATCTTTTCAAACCAAACATTGGGAGATCACCTTTTTGTGGTGCGTTACTTGTGTAAGATCTACCACCGAACCCTAGTCGTGACAACTTCAAACTAGGGAATCAGGATTTTCCAGTAATCAAAGGATCACATTTTAGTCCTTGTTACTTTTTATGACTTTATAATAGTGACAAGACTCGGGTAGTGACCACCGCGCATTGCATTTCTATAGTGTATATTTCAAATCAAAAATATTGTTTATGTTCATAGATTTCAAATAATCCTTTTCCCTTTGTCCTTCTCCTTTTCCTTTCCCTCTTCTCTTTTCAGAAAGCGAGTAATGGCGCTATAGCCATAAGTCATAAAAGGCTAGGACAAGAGTTGGTGCTCATGCCCCAACCGTCAGAAGAAAATTGAACATCACTTAACCTTTCTAGCTTTGATGCTTCCAACGATCAACGGTTCGAGTATCCAATTTTCATCCATTTATTGGATTATGAAGCATCGTGTTTAAAACTTCGATTTAAACAGGCCCGTTGTTTTCTGAACCATCTTACCCCTTAAATGCTGCACACTAGGCCTGGTCGTTTTGATATGTGTGACGCATCTTCGATGTGAAACATATATCAAATAGAAAAAAAAATGATGTAGGTATAGGGGAAATGGCTCTAACGTTGGCCTATGGATCTAAGATTGGGCCCATCGCTAAGAATCTGCTATTTATCAATTTTATCTAGATGAACGCGTCATTGGGACGGTACTAATGTATATTTTTGGTCGCTATTGAAAATTAAGTCGATTGCTGAATTTATGTATGGCCCTAAATTAGGGGCAAATTACATCCATTTCCCCTATATATCATTTTCCAGCATACTTTCAAGAACTGGCTGTGTTGGTGTTAGATTAAATTAGATTAGGAAAAGGAATTTGAGCGAGGTTCTCTATTGTTATAAATACTAAAGTATGACGCGCTTGACATAGATGGCCCACAGCAATTCACGAAGAGCTACTGATTCCGATCAATAGCGGTACAGCGTCTTCTTCTTTATATGGATGTTCATGTAGGCTGCAGCTCACTGCTTGCAGGCAGCCTTTTATTGTGTACTGGAGAACACCACCACTAACCGGTGGTGATTGAATAAAAACCGTTTAGTGAGACCGGATGGAATTGAACTTTAAAATCGGTGTTAGGGAAATTGCTTTCCCAGGTAATGGGTGATAATTTTAACTATCATAGCAACAGTTGCACATTCGTGCAATTTTCAATAGTGACCTTTTGAAAAATGATAGGGGAAATGGATGTAATGTCGGTCTAAATGCCCCTAATTTGGGCCCATACATAAATTCAGCAATCGACTTAATTTTCAATAGCGACCAACAATATACATTAGTACCGTCCCAATAACGCGTTCATCTACATAAAATTGATAAATAGCAGATTTTAAGCGATGGGCCCAATCTTAGATCCATAGGCCAACGTTAGAGCCATTTCCCCTATTCTTAATTTTAACAGATTCGTAGAAAAAATCCTATCGATTGGCGTATTAAGAATTAAAATCCATCATCTCTGGATCAAAATCAGACCACTTTCATGCCGCGACCGACATTGGTTTTTGAAATCACACCCCCAATGTTGCCTTAAAGTACATGGTATGTTAAATTTAAACATATCTAGATAGAGCTGGAATCAGGCGTAACAGCTTTGTAGTCAATGACTTCTCTCGACGATTAGGAACTCAAGGCACGCCCACGCAAATCAACATTACCGTCGGGTAGGGGAAGTCTTACCCTACACACTTAGAAATAACTAATTTTTCACGTGACGGAATCCATCTTTGACATAAAAGATGAGACGTAAACAAACATGTCGTAAGTGCTCCGAAACTGAAAAGTTCGTTGCTCGACGAAAAGTACGTTTGATTGAGCTATATTTGGCGTCTATTAGGACTGAAATTTATGTCAAAATTGACGCTCGTATAAGTCACTCTCAGAGCACCTAAATTTACATGAATTTGTCTAAGTGTATAACTGATGGTGATTTTGATTTGCGTGGGCGAGTCTTGACTTTCAAGACATCATCGAAAGAAGTCATTGTTTACACAAGCTGTTACGCCATAATTCCAGCTCTATCTTGA